GGAAGGAAACAAGCCGATGCCTGCCGTGGACGAGAGACATGGCTGACCGGGCATCTCCTGTCCCCGCAGGTTTGTGGGGTACCCCGGGCAGTACGGCACGCTGCTTGGCCTGAGGAACGAGGAGGTGAGTCTCGGGGGCAGGAAACCCCAGGGAGCCCCAGCTAGGACCTACTACCCCCTGATGCTAGGTGCTGTACAAACAGCCAGTCCCCACGCCAGAGAGCTTCCATGGCTTGTCCTCTATCAGCCAGACTCCCAGCTCTCTCGGGGTCCCCCCACGCCCCCCAGCCCTTCAAAGATGCTCCTGTTCTCTGGCCACCGTGGGCTCAGGGGCCTGCTGGGTTTCCCTGATGCTGCCTGGGCCGGGCAGGCCAGTTGCATCTGGCAGGTCCCTCGCAGAGATGGGATCCAGGCCTGGATGGGCAGGAGAGACCACACAAGCCCTGTGCGAAGCTGGTCTGGCCAGCGCTGGGAGCATGTGGGGCTGGATCTCCCAAGGGCCAGTCTCTCCCCCTAGGCAGGGTCTGGCTGGGCCGCTCTGTGCAGGGGAAGGGCAGGCTGAGCGAACCCCGAGTCACCGGGTGCTCCTGGCTCCCACAGTGCGGCCCCGGGGGGTGCCTGATCGAACTGGCACAGCAGCTGTTCATCATCATGGTGGGGAAGCAGATCGTCAGCAACATCCAGGAGTTCGTCATCCCGTGAGTGCCCCGCGGAGCTGGCCGTGCAGAGGGCCAGGCACAGGGGGCCGTGTCGGGTACACCCCCCCCAGAGGGCTGGGCAGCAAGGCAGGCGCCTAAGGGTGGGGGTGGGCCAGGCCTGCAAGTGGCCCCAGCATTGGGTTACCGACTGGTGCCTGCCTGCAGCTGCCTGTTCAGTGACTGGCAAAGGAGGCTCTAGGGCAGCGTTTCATAAACGTTTGAAGACCGAGGAACACCAAACAATAATGTTTTTTTTCTGAGGAACACCAAGGATTTTTTGTTGAGCAAAAAAAAGGGGGGAGGGGCGGGGACAAAAAAAAAAAAGGTCGCCTGCCCTTTAAGGGCGGCCATTTTGAACGCTGTTGTTCTCCGCGGCACACCTCCGACTGTCTCGGGGCACACCGGTGTGCCGTGGAACATAGTTTAAGAAACACTGGCCTAGGGGCTGAGCCGGAGCCTAGTCCGGACGGCTGAGATCCAGGGCAGGTTTCTCTTTTGCCAGGCCCAGGTCTAGGGTTGCCAGGTGTCCGGGATTCACCCGGACAGTCCGGTATTTTCACCGCCTGTCCAGTGAAAAAATTCAGAGAATCCCGGACACCTGAGACGTCGGGTATTTTCTGAAATTTTCCCCGGCCAGGAGGAGAAAATGCCGGGCACCTGGCAACCCTACAAACACTCAGCACCCAGCCTCTCTCCTCCCTGAGCCCCTCGGCTCCCTGGCCCCCAACACTCCTAGCCCTCCGACCCCAGCCCCCATGCTTACCTGGGTCCCACAAGGCTGCCGGTACAAAATGGCTGCCGGCCAAAAAACGCCCAGCCCCCCCCACCCGAACCCCCCGACCTTAGCACAAAATAGCTGCAGGCTAAAAGACCTAAGGGAAGGAATGCTTCCCCTGAGTTTTAGTGCTCAACCGCTCCCCCGTTCCTATCCCTGCACTTAAAGGGGACACACTGTTTTAATGCTGTTTTATTTTAATTTTTTTGGCTTAAGAAGTCCTTGGAGTCCTTTTTTTTCTGCCTTTGGTCTCCCCCCTCCCCTTTTTTTCCCCTTCAACAGAACTTTTTCCTGGTGTTTTTTTTTTGGTGGGGAAGGGGTGTTGGGTAGTTTTGTTTCAGCCATCTGGCAACCCTACCCAGGGCAGGCTAGGGAGCAGCTGGCACAGGGCACTTGCCACCTGCGATGGATGCAGGGAAACTGTGGCCACCCAGGCCAGGACGTGTGCCCCATTCCCTCTGGCCCCGTGCAGGCCCCCTCTGTGCACACCCCGAACCAGCCCCGAGACCCTCGCTGTGCCCCCTCCCCTCTCTGCAGCAAGCTGAAGGCCTGGCGGCAGAAGGGCCAGCTGGCCAGGAGCCCCCGCGCTGGGAGGAGGACTACGAGCTGATTGACTGCGAGGGGCTCTTCGAAGAGTACTTGGAGATGGGTGAGTTGGGGCGCGGCCGCCGGGGGGGGGAGCTGCACCGGCAGCTGGTGCCCAGCCCCTCGGGCTCAGCCTGCGTGGGAATCCCAGACCGCCGGCGGCTGGGGCTTCCGCCTTAAGGGAGGGAGGGAGCTTTGGACCCCACCCTGATGCTGGGGAGGAGCGCGGGCCACACCCGGTGGTGCTAGAGCTCTACATAAAAGCTGTTCTCTCGGCAGGGAGCCCCCAGGTAGGGGTGAGGGGGAATCCCGGGTACTCCACTCCCTGTCCCTCCCAGTAGGAGGCGCTCTGGGGTGGTGCAGGAATACTGGTGGGGGGGCAGAGCCTGGCTGAACAGCCGCTTCACCCCCTGCTCCTTCGGGCCCGCAGTGCTGCAGTTTGGCTTCATCACCATCTTCGTGGCGGCCTGCCCGCTGGCGCCGCTGTTCGCTTTGCTCAACAACTGGGTGGAGATCCGCCTGGACGCCCAGAAGTTTGTCTGCGAGTACCGGCGCCCGGTGGCCTACCGTGCCCAAAATCTCCGTCATCGTCAACGTGAGTGCAGAGCTTGGGGCCTAACTGGTCTTGAAAACCCCTGGTGACCGAGATCCCTGACACTGTATCTGCCCTGACAATGAGTTTTGCCTAATGTCCAACCTAAACCTCCCTTGCTGTAATTTAAGCCCATTGCTTCTTGTCCTGCCCTCAGAAAGAGAACAATGTATCGTGTCTAGACGGTGCCTGGTCCTGCCGTGAGGGAGAGAACAATGTGTCATGTCTAGACGGTGTCTGGTCCTGCCGTGAGGGTGGGGGACTGGACTCGATGACACTTGAGGTCCCTTCCAGTTCTAGTCTTCTAGGATTCTGCGATCATCCTCCCCTTTCTAACAACCTCTTAGGTACTTGGAAACTGTTCTGTCCCTGCTCGATCTCCTCTTTCCCAGACTAGACAAAGCCTGTTTTTTCAGTCTTCCCTCCTGCGGGATATTTTCTACCCCTTTAGTCATTTGTGTTGCTCTTCTCTGGACTTTCTCCAATTTGTCCACGTCTTTCCTGAAGTGTGATACCTAAAACGGGACACAATCCTCCAGCCGAGGCCTAATCAGCGGGTAATAGAGCAGAAGAAAGACTTCTCGGCTACATCTACACTGGCATGGTTTTCTGGAAATGCTTTTAACGGAAAAGTTTTCCGTTAAAATCATTTTCGGAAAATCGCGTCTAGATTGGCAGGATGCTTTTCCACAAAAGCACTTTTTGTGGAAAAGTGTCCGTGGTCAATCTAGACGCGCTTTTCCACAAAATAGCCCCGATCGCCCTTTTCGCAATCGGGGCTTTTTTGCAGAAAACAAATCTGAGCTGTCTACACTGGCCCTTTTGCGCAAAAGTCTTTCGGAAAAAGGCTTTTGCCCGAACGGTGGTCAATCGACGCGCTTTTCCACAAAATAGCCCCGATCGCCATTTTCGCAATCGGGGCTTTTTTGCAGAAAACAAATCTCTGCTGTCTACACTGGCCCTTTTGCGCAAAAGTCTTTCGGAAAAAGGCTTTTGCCCGAACGGGAGCAGCATAGTATTTCTGCAAAAGCACTGACAATCTTACATGAGATCGTCAGTGCTTTTGCGGAAATTCAAGTGGCCAGTGTAGACAGCTGGCAAGTTTTTCTGCAAAAGCAGATGATTTTGTGGAAAAACTTGCCAGTCTAGACACAGCCCTCGTGTCTTGCTTACAATGCGCCTGCTAATACAGCCCAGAATGATATTCATGGGGGTTTGGGGTTTTTTTTTGCAACAGTGATACACTGTTGATTCATTTAGTTTGTGGTCCACTATGACCCCCGGATCCACAGTGCTCCTTCCTAGGCAGTCGCTTCCCATTGTGTGTGAGAGCGACAGACTGGTCCTTCCTAAGTGGAACATTTCGCCTTTGTCCTTATTGAATTTCATCCTGTTTACCGCAGCCCAATTCTCCAGTGTGTCCAGCTCTTTTTGAATTCTAACCCTGCCTCTCCCAAGCACTCGCAGCTCTTCCCAGCTTGGTATCCTCTGCAAACTTTTGACGTGTGCTCTAGGCCAGTGTCCGAATGGTTGCGGAAGCTACGGAACAGAACTGGTCCCAGAACGGACCACTATTCCCATTCCTGGGAACCACTGCTCACTCTCTGGAAACAGACAAAGACTAGCTGCACCACAGCAGTGTTTCTTAAACTTTTGGAGACCTCGGAACACCAAACAATACACACAAAACAATATTTTTTTATGCGGAACACCTAGGGTTGCCAGATGGTTTCAAAAAATACCGCATGGAAAAAAAAAAAGGGCCAGGGAAAGTTTGTAGAGCAAAAAAAAAAAAAAAAAGCACCGGGGCGTAACCAGGGAGACCTCGGGAGGTTGGGCCACCGGGAAAAGTGGAAAAATGTTCTTAATTAGAAAGGAACACCCGTGACAATTTTCTTCAAACAAACAAACAAAAAAATGGTCGTCACACGAAACCCCCCAAAGAAGTAACAAAGCCAAAGAGGAGGTCGTGGCGCACCGGCGCGTTGTCCACGGAGCACCAGTGTTCTGCGGAACAAAGTTTAAGAAACGCGGCGCTGGAGGATGCTTTGACCAGCGTCCGTGCAGGGGATGGGCCCGACGGTCTCTTGAGGTCTCTTCAGGCTGTCACCTGCACTGACTCCCCCCCTCTCCTCCTGAGAGCCCTGCCCTCTCTTCCCGGCCTCCAGCCCCCGTGCAGCTGCCCTGCGCCCCCTGCGGCAGGACCCCGGCCCCGCGGAGCAGAGCTGTTCATCTCACCCGGGGAGGGGGATGACCCTGACGACTTGCCCTTTACCCCCCCCCAGGCCTTCCTCATCGCCTTCACCTCAGACTTCCTGCCCCGGCTGCTCTACCGCTATGAGCACGACAGCCAGCTGCAGGGCTTCGTGAACTTCACCCTGGCCTACTCCCCTCCCGGCTACATGGCCACCAACCACACCCTGTGCAGGTGCCGGGGCTGGGGAGAGGGGGCAGTTTG